CCCCAAAACCCCAAAACCCCTCGATAAAAATTTTCATTATAATTATAGACATATAAGATAAATAAAACTTAATATAAATCGAATATAGATGGTGATTTTGAAAATTATTTATAATCCTTTAAAAAGATAAAACCTAAAATGCCTTTAAAATAAAAAAGAAATTTAGGCAAAGCTCTTCAAAAAGCTGTGAAGAGTATGGATGTATTTGGAATACCTGTATCATTGACTTATAAAAATGAACCTCGAATAAAATCAATGACAGGAGGATTAGCAACTTTATTAATGCGTGGTGGAGTTTTAGGCTACCTATTATATCAGTGTGTTGATGTACTTAAAAGGAAAACTATTATTCAGTCTTCTTCTTTAAGAATAGATCTTACAAATGAAGAAAATATGTATAAGCTAACTTAAAATGAGTTCGATATCGCTTATAAAGTTGAGTATAATTTTTTGAAAACAGAGCCTGAAGTTTAAGAAAATTTAGAAGAATACGCATATATTTAGCTCAGTTAAAATATATATCCGTGGGTTACAGAAAATGGGTGAAGTGTTTAAAAAAGATATAGAAATAGATTAGAAACTGAAAATTGCTAGTATGGCAGGCTAGGGCTAGATGAGAATAGTGTAGATTATTTAAATATTATCAAAACTTATCAATGCCCTAAAAATCTAAATTTCTAGCTATAGGGCAGCTATTCAGCTAAAGTCGCTAAGTAGGTTCAAATAGGAGTATTTCCTTGCAATTAAACTTATCTTGACATTAAAACAAATTGAACAAAAACTTGCAAATCAAAAGAAGAGCAATTGAGAGTTGGCGCTGATTTGAAGCTATATATTGTGGTATAAAACTCATTCTTTGACCAAGAAAATTTTAGTGACAACTCAATTAAAACTTCTCTTAAGCCATATTTTCTGACTCCAAGTTATAATCAAAGTCACTCTTATTTATTCTTACTCAGTAAGAATTAAGTCAAATTAAAAGATTCTATGTTTTATAGTGAGGTACAAAATAAGCAGTATATTGAAACAAGATTGGATTACTTTAATGTCCAAGAGTTAACTGCAGATGGTTAGTAATCTTTTGTGTCATTTAGTATATAAATGGATGATACTGTAAAAACAATAAGGAGGTAGGCAGTTACATTCATAGATGCATTGTAAAATACTGGTGGGTTTATGAGTGTCCTATTCGTTATTACTCTCAATCTTATAAGTTACCTTTAAAGAACAATTTACTACACTTCATTAGTCAAAAGTCTCTATCAATACCAAAGTGAGCAAAATAAAGCTTCAGAAAATTTAGGGAACTTGAGACAAGCAAAAGAATTGGCCTGCTAAAAAAGTTTAAATTAGCAAAATAATATCATCGAAGACTCTCCATAGAATACATAACTGTTGACCTCTGATAAAGATAATATGTTTTATGTCAATAGAGTTTAAAGAATAATCGCTTAGTTTAAAAGCAGGCTTAAACTTAAATATTCAATAAGAGATGCCATTCATGCTTGCTTACGCAAAAAAGGGTGTATTAAAAAATATGACAGATTATAGTAAGCGAGGGAGATCCTTTTCAGAAATGGCACAATGAAAATCAGCAAAGAGCTTGACATCAGACATATTGTTAAAGAATTAAGAACTGTTAAATTTATCTAGAAAGTACTATTGACAAAATATTAAAGAGTAATGATACCTTATTTCAAAGGAAACTTATTAAATGAAGTTGCTAGTTCACAAGAAAATAAAAATTCAAAAGCTTAAGATATTAAGTTAGCTGAGTTTTTAAAACAAGCATTAATGTAGACTCACTAAAATGCATTTGATAAAAGATTAATAAAATCAATTGAGCTAACCAAAGAGGAATAATACTAGCTTTAGGAAGTTTTCAATACTAAGAGCATAGATATATAAAGGAGCAAGAACTAAAGGAATATTAGAAAAAAGAATATTTCTCAAAGCATTGAAATAGAAATTAGAAATTAATACAAGAATTAAGAATTCAACATTGATCCAGATGAGGTTGAATCAGGTATAATTTCTCATCGTGAATAAACATAAGGAAATTAAAAAGGTAATACCGCTGTTCACTAGATCGATATTAGCATTCCAGATTTCTCTCCAATTTCAATATCGAATAAGAGTGCTATTGATCAAAAGAATTTAGTCTAGCCAAAATATCTTTAAAATATTTGATTATTCAACCATAAAATAACGGTTATTTATGATTATTACCTTAATTTGCATTTAATTTAAACTTCAATTTTAAGGAATAAGTAATTTATTCCGAATGGGGTTTTGGGGTTTTGGGGGTTTTGGGG